TTCTGTGCTAGAATAAAACAACAATTCTAAAAACTAACCCCAATGAGCATTTATAATGTGATCACAAATAAATAATTAAGGTAAATAGCAGGGACACCGGACCATATGTGTCAGCAATAGTCTAAGCATGGACGAATGGAAGACATATAAATATGTAAAAATAGAATCTGGGGAGAAAAATTGTGTCGCATGACACAGGAACCAAATTTCTTAGCAGCTGAGCTAACAATGAATGTCAGCTGGGAAGGTTAAACGTAGATGGCGCAACGAATCACTTTGCTGAAGGTTAGCATCAGTCATGCTGATGAATGCCAAGGAGGGGGTCTCTCAGATGATTAATCGAGAAAAGTTTAGTTTTGGATGTGTTAGCATTAACAAGCCGTCATTTGCCACAGTTAATAACGAAATTGAGATTGTTTTGAACAACGGATGTTAATTTAATCTTGTCGGATTGATCTGCCTTCATATCGAGACAGGAGTAAATGGTTGAGTCACTAGTATAGATACCAAGTTGAGAGTTGATGTCATCGGGAAGGTCATTAATGAAAATAAAAAAAAAACAAAGTATGGGGTCATCCGGATTAGTACGAAAAGAATCTAGACGAGTGACCGTTCAAAAAAAAAAAAAAAGATTAACTATGATTTTGTGAGTTACTGTGTGCTCCATACTTGTGGCCTAGTGTAAAACAAAGCTAAGGTTAGTAAATAAAAAAAAACAAAAACAACCGTCGATTGATGGTTAACGCACTTCTCGAAGTTTACTTAAATATTGTAGCCTTGTAAGAGGTGAGGCCAAGCTTAACTTGCAATTCTAATATTACTATTATTCAAAAAGATATTTAAAATTTATTTCCTAATGTAAAAAAAACTGTTGAAAAGAGACGTAGTATTCTACTTTTGATACAGAGTTATCGTCCTTGCTTGTGATTTTTTATTGTTTTTCTTTCGACTTTCTGTTTGGATGCTTTTTAACAGGAAACGACGTGTTATGTGTATATTTTTGACAACTAGCTGACCATGTTCGCTTCACTGTGAATTATTTGACAGCAATCACTCAAAAATAGTTCGGTATTTCTTGGGCATGATCGTTTACGGTGGAGATGTCGATAATTTTAAATGCAGAGGACGACTGGCGACCGGGAGAAAGAAAGGTTGATTTAAATATAAAGGTAATTTTAGAAACGTGCCTGAGAAACAGAGAAAAAAATAATGTTACATATTAAAATAAAAAAAAATAAAATGATAAAAATAGAAAAGACTAGCGTGGAATAATTTTGACGTTAAGAGGCGAAAAAGAATCTGGGGATGAAAGAAAGAAAAAGAAAGAGAAAATTTGAAATGAGGAAGGCGAAGGCGAAGGCAGAGAACGGTATGGAATGTAGAGGAAGAAGAATAGAAAGCAAAGGAAGGAAGGAAGAAAGGGAGAAGAGGAAGGAAGGAAGGAAGGAAGGAAGGAAGGAAGGAAGGAAGGAAGGAAGGAAGGAAGGAAAGGAAGGGGAAGGAAGGAAGGAAGGAAGGAAGGAAGGAAGGGAAGGAAGGAAGGAAGGAAGGAAGGAAGGAAGGAAGGAAGGAAGGGGAAGGAAAAGGAAGGAAGGAAGGAAGGAAGGAAGGAAGGAAGGAAAAGGAAGGAAGGAAGAAGGAAAGGAAGGAAGGAAGGAAGGAAGGAAGGAAGGAAGGAAGGAAGGAAGGAAGGGAAGGGTGGAAGGAAGGAAGGAAGGAAGGAAGGGAAGGAAGGAAGGAAGGAAGAAGGAAGGAAGGAAGGAAGGGAAATAAAGAAGGAAGGAAGGAAGGAAGGAAGGAAGGAAGGAAGGAAGGAAGGAAGGAAGGAAGGAAGAAGGAAGGAAGGGGAAGGAAAGGGAAGGAAGGAAGGAAGGGGGAAGGAAGGAAGGAAGGAAGGAAGGAAGGAAGGAAGAAGGAAGGAGGAAGGAAGGAAGGAAGGAAGGAAGGAAGAGGAAGGAAGGAAGGAAGGAAGGAAGGAAGGAAGGAAGGAAGGAAGGGAAATAAAGAGGAAGGAAGGAAGGAAGGAAGGAAGGAAGGAAGGAAGGAAGGAAGGAAAATAAAGGGAAGGAAGGAAGGAAGAAAGGAAGGAAGGAAGGAAGGAAGGAAGGAAGGAAGGAAGGAAGGAAGGAAGTGGAGGAGAAGGAAGGAAGGAAGGGAAGAGGAAGGAAGGACGGGAAGGAAGGAAGGAAGGGGAAGGATGGAAGGAAGGGAAGGGAAGAGGCAGGAAGGAAGGAAGTGGGAAGGAAGGAAGGAAGGAAAGAACAAATAGAAAACTTCGAATTATATCTTATCATACGCATGCATGCACGCGTGTGCGTGTGCGTGTACATGTAGAATACCATCAATTTTTGACCTTACGACGTTATGTTATCTTCTTTTTTTTTACTTTACACTCACTCTCTAACCTTTTCTCTCTTTTCCCGCTTTTCTTTCACGTGCAGCCATTTTGACTTCCGGTTTTTCCAGACATATAATGTCATTGTTAATGCTTGGATGTTCTAGATTTTTCATGAGCTAGGAAAATTTTATTTCATTTTTTACATAAATTATTATTCCAGGATCATTTTTAAACTTATTCAAGATGTTCTTCGTCCTCTCTAACCCTCTAGTTTTCTGTCCTGGTGTAACAAGGTGTGTGACACATTTCACGTACGATTTCATTTTCAGGTCTTTTTTCACTGCTCTTTGGACTGTAATAGCTGAAACTCCTGTCTCACGTACTAAACGTCTTATGAATTGATAAGGATCTTTTCTAATTGATCTCTTTAGCTCTAAGTTGAAACGAGGATCCCTCTTCCTGTTGTGACCTTCTGATTGAGTTTTCCTCACAACTGTTCCCTCTTTTTTAAACTTATTCATCATTCTCTTCATTGTTCTTGAATGGAGTTTGAAGATCGAAGTCAGCGTAGGAATGTTGGTACCATTACTGAAGGCCTGAATGGTCTTTTTTCTCGCACCATTCCTCATTTGAGAAGATCGTGAGACTCAGCATAAAGATTTTAACCAGTTCTCTTTCTAGCAGAATATCTCAAAGATAGGATAAATGGCATCAAGACAGCTCAACGTCTTATCAGAAATCCTTGAAAAAAGAAATTAGATTAGTTTTGTGTTTTTTTTTAGACATTAAACATTATATATATATATATATATATATATATATATATATATATATATATATATATATATATGTAGCGTGTATATAATGTATATATATATATATATATATATATATATATATATATATATATATATGAACCCGTAATCCCCGTATAATATTTGAACTCCGCCAGCATTTCGTTAACCAAATATTTTTATTAAAATTTAAATTATTTAACGGTCAGTCTTTACCCAGCAACTGAAGATTGTATCAACTTCCGAGTCGCGCTACCGGTGAGGATATATATATATATATATATATATATATATATATAATGTGTGTGTATGCGTGTGAACATCAGCATAGAATCAGTTTAACATCTCAGTAGGATTCATATACCTACATTTTCTATATCTGTCTATTTAAAGGCTCCAATCAATCTCGTATGCTAAACAATTTTCCCCTATGCATGTAACAGAAAGCATTCTGAAATGTTATCGTCTCAGACACGAAGCGATTTCTGTCAAAATCCAGTCATGGTTAGTTGTATGCAAAATTTACCTGTTTTTTTTTTCCCCCTTTTTTTTGAAAACTGGAGGCCAAACGCACAATTGAAAAACGCTTTCTTTTATTTTCGGGGTTAAAAAATGATCGTATGCAAGATATGCATGCCACACAATCCTGTATTTGAATTGTCTGTGTATCCCAAGAAAGTAGCTGTAATCAATTCTAAAATGCAATATGTTTAAAAAAAAAATTAATAATCGACTCTTTTGTTATTTGTTTTCTTAAGATTTTTAGTTTTTACACGCAGCAAGAGGAACAGAAAAATAACAATATTAACTGGACGCCGATTCTGATATTTGGACATTTGGTCAAGTCTTAGGAATCGGTTTGGCTTGATAACTTTTCATATCTGGTCTGCTTCTTTTATGTATTTAGAAATTCTTGATAAAATCCAAAGCAATGTTTTTGGTCCTGACTTACCATCTTGGCTTAAGTCTCTTTTCCACCGCCGTAACATAGAATCTATGTGTCTTTTCTGTATATATTTTCATCGTAATTGTCCTGATAGATTTTATTCATTGGTACCTTGAATTTATGAAGTTAAGCGTACTACTAGATTGTCGGAAACATTTTACAGTTGAAATGGCTAGATGTAACCGTAACTCCGATGCTGATAGTATTTTTCTCGCACTTCTTGCTTGTGGAACAATCTTCTGGTTTTTGACTTCCGTTCAAAAGACATTTAAATGCAGTGTCAATCGTCATCTTTTCTCTTTTAAATTCCTCTTCTTGTTCTCTCTCCCTAATAATATGTTTTTTTTCTCACATATCTCATATTCTCTCACACTCACAACCCCTTTCTTTTTAGTGGCTTTATTCTCTTGCTTAAGGTGAAATGATAAAATAGTACTCTTTTGTTCTCTTCTATTATGTTGTGAAGCCATGTTCCTGTTTTAACTGTTACTGTTTTAATTTAATTAGCCGATGCTACATTATGTCTGTTCCAATGAATGAATATATTTGTTATTTGATAGTTTTAATTTTTGGTGAACGGCTGAGCAGTGAGACTTCAGTAAAAGGTACCAATGGCTGACATTGCAAATTTTACATTTTCCCGTGTAATAGATAATTAACGTTGAGTAGTATAACAGATATCGGTGCGAAAAATGAACTCGGCGCGCCCAGTTCAGTTTCCGATAGATTCACTTCGCCCTAAAACCCTGTGAAAACACATGAAGTCATCTTCCTCCAGGTATTAGTTAAATAGCAGGGTAAACTGGTTTCGTTTGATGTGACAACAAGCCTCAGAGAATGAACACTATGAATTCAAAGCAAGAATCTACAGATTTGGCTTCCATATTTTTGATGCCGTTACAATCCTAATGCCCAACTCGTGATGCGACACAATGCACGCAGAAACTCGTAAGACCAACGTGCTATTTGTGTTTTAAATGCCCATGAAAACGTTTAGAAAAAGTAAGAAAATGGTGTCACTGGTTGGCAGCCATTATTTTTTATAAATTAATAGCATTTTCTTTGCAATAACTAAAAACAAATAAATATGTAAAAAATAACGATGCTCAAAATTTAACATCTTCTTCATTTCCTCTCTTCGCTCTTCGCACCATAATTAGTACTAAAATACACGATGTTTAAACAAAAATAATAACAAGCGGCCATTTTGTTTTAATTTCTTCAAAGCTTTTTTTTTTTTAGCTTTTAAGTATCGTCAAGAAGAAAAGGGAAAGATGAAGATTACAACATTAACTAGACACCAATACAAAAACAATTATAATTTGTTTATTAAAAATATAGTGTAAGCAGAATCAAGTGGAGCCACTTCATTTTGGCGGGAATTGTTCACGTTCGTTTTGCCTTTTTTCATTTCTCCAAAGAAAAAAAGAAATAACCAAAACATACCAAACAAAAAATGGTTAAAGAAAAAAAAATATCTCAACCAAATACAAGCGTCGAAGATTGGTACGTCGTTCTGAATTTACAATATTTACTCCGAGACTATTCTCCCAAAATAACCTTCTGCTTTCTTCATTTTCTCTTTCCGTTGGACAGTTCGTTTTAACTTTCTAATCTTGAGAACGTCAACTCTGTCTGTCTGTTATTTCTTGCTTTTTTCGCATCTTTCTCTTTCTATCTCAGAGTTTGTTCCCATATTTTTTCTGTCTTATTTTTTTTTTCTCATTCCCAGACATATTACAAAGATAAAACTTTTCCCTGTACCTTTTAGCTCTACTATTAATGTTTTGTACCTTTTCTTAGTTTTGATTTTACATTGTTTTCGACCGGAATTTTTTCAATGCTATAAAACAACACTGTCTATTTCGGCAGAAAATCCATTATTTTAGGAATTCAGAAAGACATAACAAACCAAGAAAATCTCAGCAGAAAGTTTTGCCTTCCTTTTTTTTTATTTATTCATATTTCGATTTGTAACGGACAAAAAAAATCATGCGAAAAGTTTACAGAAGACTCCATTTTTTGAAAAAAAAAAAAAGAAGATTTTTCTAATTAGATAAAATGAAATTCAAAATGCATATCTTACACGTCCTTTCACTAAAATATGACCACCAAATATCGGCAACCCACGCTTCACAGTTATTTACGAAGAAAGAAACAAAAAGGGTCCTTTATTAAAGACGCGAAAATATTAATTCCTCTGTAGACATTTTCTACGATTTTGTTCGTATTATAGAAAATCTAATATCACAGTCAATACGCACGTGGCATAGTGGTTATTGGAAAGTGGGTTCGGAAAACCGAATGGAAATTCCGGTCGACGTGTTTACTCTCACACGACTGACTCTGGAAAAGGTAAGAATACATATATTCTACTTTCATCTATAAGTTATTTCGCTGGGAAGACTGGCCTTTCTAGCCTCGTGTGGTAATTCATCCAGGAAGAAGACCATTGTAATTTGTAAATATTGGAGAAGACAACGCATAATCACTTCCCTGCCATTCAAAATAAGTCATCCTGATTCGCATATAAACAAACACGTTTAAAGGAGTGGCTTTTTGTGCTCATTGTGATTTGCTTTTATTTAATTTTAATAATTGTTCAACCAACATAAGGCTCAAGAATCACTCGAGGTAGAGAGTAACTGAACGAAGGGAAGATTGTGGCTATTTCTTAGCGGAGCTTAGATGTTACACAAAGCCCGAAAGTGTGCGGCACCCAGTGAGGATCGAACTCATTATTCAGTTGTAATTGTTCTATGGAGACAAGTTTAAGAGGTTTTATAGGAAATATAAAAGTGAACTCTAGACTTAAAAGATAAATATTATAGTAACCAGGAAAACCTCTTCAAGGTAATTTGCTCCACAAAGTAGCGATTCTTAGGCTGAAGAATCCGATAGAAACTTCCTCCTTATTAATGGAATATGAAGGAAATCAAGATGATACGACCCAGCGTACATAGGGCTTAGCAAAGGTCTAAATTGATGGAACTTAAGAACGTATCTCATCCGAACATTTCTCATCGAAATAGCGATAATTCAGCAAGAGGTTTACGGTGTTGTCCCGTTTTAGGAAACAGGTTTTACAGTGGAGAATAATTCATTAAAAAAAACTATAGACGCTTCTAGCTATCAAGCCTAGAAAATGAGATATGACAGAAGTACTCCAATTTTGGTCTAATTTGGCTCCTGTAAAAATAAAGCATAGCAGATAGACCCAGGTACAAGGAATTGACCGTTTATCCGGAATCTTAAGCGATGGGTCATATATACGAGTTCCACTTGAGGTCTGGAGTGAACTTGTATCACAACAAGCGTTCAAGTTGCGAAAATTCAGCATCTGTTTGGTAACGTTACTCGCTTGGCGTTGGAGGTCGTGAATGATACAAGCCAGTTTTCCTCCATGGAGCTATAAGCGCTAATTCAGAGAAGATATTGGCTACTAGGCTTTGGTCGTTTATATTTTTGAAGGTGCACTCATATACTCTTCTATTATTTTCATAGATATTTGCTTATGATGTATTCATATGCATATATTGGTAAATTATTAAAATATGTGTATGGGTGTTAGTAGAATGCGAACAAAAAATGGAGATAATGTGCCAAACATAAAAACTTTTAAAAGCAACGCGTTTCGTCTCCGTGTAATAGGCGTTTTCAGGTTGAAATGAAAAACAAATCTGTGCGTAAGGAATGTGCGTTGGGATTTTGAGGAGAAGATAATAAATTACCTTATCAGCTACTGCATCGAGAAAGTATATATATATATATATATATATATATATATATATATATATATATATATATATATATATATATATATTATCTACATCATTTTTCCCACTTATTTTGTTTAAAATCTTCGATCGAGAAATGAAGAGGGAAGAACGAAAGCAGTTTTCTTTTTTCAGATTCTTTTCAATTTGCTGTTTATATAAATTAAACCATTTTTTTCTTTTGGCGATAAAAATGTCTGTTTTAATGGCTATAATAAAATATCATACCTCAAAGAAATTATTTTTTATAGTATTTACATGCGGACTATTGGCCTCACCTTTGTTGTTTTTATCATAAAGTTTCGGCCGTTGTGCCCTCCGGCCTTCATCAGCTGTATGTCGATCCTATAGGGAATTTCGAACTGAACACATTATTTACTCCCCTGCCCACATAGAGGGATATCTTGCTCTTTTTTTGGTACTGCTCAGCTATTGTACATGATGTTTCCGGAGTGCCCAAGAACACTGCCTGACCCACGGATTGAACTCACAATTAATATGTCAACAAATTTACGAACCAACAATTTAATGCACATTTTTGCTTATCACTGATGATCCACTGCCACTTATCACTGCTGATATACCGCTGCTTCTCAGTGCTGATGTACTGCTGCTTCTCTCTGCTGATCTACTGCGGCCTATCACTGCTGATCTGCTGCTGCTTCTCACTGCTGATCCACTGCATCTTATCACTGATAATCCACTGCCACTTATCACTGCTGATATACCGCTGCTTCTCAGTGCTGATGTACTGCTGCTTCTCTCTGCTGATCTACTGCGGCCTATCACGGCTAAGGTACTGCAGCTTATCACTGCTGATGTACTGCTGCTTTTCACTGCTAATCCACATTCGCTTCTCACTGCTTATCGCCTGCTGCTTTTCACTGCTGATCTACTGCTGCTTTTCACTGCTGATCCACAGTCACTTATCACTGCTGATCTACTGTTGCTTCTCACTGCCGATCCAATGCTTCTTATCACTGTTAATCCACTGCCACTTATCACTGTTGATCTACTGCTGCTTCTCACTGCTGATGTACTGCTGCTTCTCTCTGCTGATCCACTGCTGCCTATGACTGCTGATCTACAGCTGCTTATCACTACTGATCCGCAGTCGCTGATCTACTGTTGCTTCTCGCTGCTGGTCCACTTCTTCTTACCACTGATAATCTACTGCCACTTACCACTGATAATCTACTGCCACTTATCACTGCTGATCCATTGCCGCTTATTACTGCTGATCTACTGCTGCTTTTCATGACTGCTTTTTATATATGGAAAACTTGGAGACTTAAACCAAACCTGCCCGCTGTTGAGTGCAGTTGTTACTGTTTATCATGATTTCCTTTGCTCTCAGAATTTTCTCTTTTGTTACAGCTATTGCTAAGTAAATATTTACATACTGCAATGTGTCATTATTGCCCGTGACTTGGTGGAGTATAGCATCTTTTGCTATAAACAAACATGATGATTAACAGCTGAATCAAAGTTCGAAAATATATGCAAAGAAAGTAAAGCTAGGAATGAACCTTTATTTTCAGATTATATAAACGACAAGACAAACTATCTCTAAAGAAATGGTTGGTCTGGTGAATATAGCAATGCGTACTGTTTAATCAATAACAGGAGACCTGGATTTTTTGTATGTAACTTTACATTTTATTCACTCGTCAGCTACTCTCGACCGCTGTGTGTGTGAGGCGGCCCCGTCGCCACTAAATAATTATGTGAAACAACATTCTCATCCGTATCGGAGAGACTGAACAACTCAACGGGATTCAGGTATGATGCCATATGCCGCTGCATGCAGCGGCTGGGAGTGACGCTAGTTCTATTCACTGGTGCAAGTGACGCTAGTTCTATTCACTCCTTTGCTGGTATAAAATTGCAGGCAAAGCCGAGACCAACAATAACACTACATATCTTCCATATATATCTAGAAAGTTATTTTCAAGGTAGGTAGTTGTTATGGTAATTTACCCACGCATGCATGGGCTCTTGCAGCTATAAATAGGAGCAGGTACTGCCTTTTGAAGATTCCAGCCGTCAGTTCTGACAGTTGGACCGATCATTCTTGCTGTAACACTCTCGTTTGTATATGTTTGTATTACTGTTTCTGTTAATATATTTGTTTGAATCAATTCTTCTCTTTGTGTCTTTATTTCTGGCCCTAACAAGGTCACAACAGTTGTACCTCATAACATAGAAGATAAAACAATATCCTTTCTCCAAGAAATTTTCTATGCAAATAAACACTTTTCGACTTCCACATAGAATCGGATGGTATATAATTTTATCACAATCTTAAGAGTATTTTGTTTTTAAGACCCAAAGTAATAGTTTACGAAGTGCGACCAAGAAAATAATAAGAAAATAAAAACTTTTGGTGTCAAATTCTACTCCGTCAGAATTTAAAGATTTTTTTCTTTATGGCTTCTTTCTTTATCCATTCAAAACGTTGTTTTCTGTGATTTAAGCCGAAGTCAATTTTAAGAATGGCCTGTTGAGTAACTCTTTAAGTTTTCTGTATGTCTGAGACAAAAACCTTTTGCCGAATTCCCCAACGTGTTTATTAGATGAGCCATAGTACCATTGGATATCTTAAGAGATATGCAAATGGTTTTTGCCAGTGAGCAGTAAGTAAATATTCAATGTTATTTTATTGCTCGCTTCACTCGCGTTTGTCGCCTCAGCCATAAACGAACGGCCCTTCGTTGGAGGCGGTCATGCAGTCGGTTTCCCACACTTAAACAATCAGTTTTATTAGTCAAGCTGAGATAGTTGTGTGCAAAAACTCGTTTAATGATTATTGCCGACCTATATATTCGTGTATAAGTCGAAAGGATGTTTAAATGTTCGAGTTTTATTTAGCCAAAGCACCAGTGATATTTTGTATCTTATTAGGGACAAATCTTGTTCACCGTAACCAGCTTCCATTCATAAAGCAGATTTGATAGCCTATAAAACAAATTTAAGAAAACTTATTTCTATTGTCTATTTCTCTCTCGTTTGTCGCTTTAGCCATAAATAAACGGCCCTCCGTTGGAGGTTTCCCTCACTTAATCAAGTTTATTCGTCAAGTTGAAACAGTTTTGTGAGAAAGAAGAAAACTCTTTTAATGACGTAAACTAGGTATCTACTTGTTTATAAGTTGCTTAAGTTCGTCTTATCTTTTCTATGCAAATAAACACTTTTCGGCGTTGACAAAAATTGTCATTGCCTAGAGTGGTGATCCGACCAATCAAGACGTTTACTTAGAAGATTATTTAGCGTCAATATTTTCCATATGCGCTGAAATCTAGAATATAAATCTTAGATATCAGCTGAATTATAAAAGTAACAACACTGTCTTCCTGTTTTTCACGCATACATTTCACGCATCTTATTTTACCCAAAGTTTTGTTTTCGTTCTTGATATCAAACGTCGTAGATGTCTAGGCCTTAATAAGACCTGTCCTTTTTCTATGAATATTTTCATGGTAATTGTTCTGATAAACTTTACTCTATGGTACCTGGCTCCGATGAGCTGCATTCGCTGGTTCCCAGACTTCATGAGTTCAAGCGCCCTACGAGGCTGGCATCCCGCTCTCACCCTTTCACTGTCGAAACTCCTAAATGTAGCCGTCTCTTCTACTCCAATAGCTTCATGTCTCGCACCTCTCGCCTGTGGAACTCCCTTCCCTATTCCAGTTTCCCTGAGAGCTATAAACTCCAACTATTCAAATGTAATGTCAATCGACATCTCCAGTTGCCTTGATCTATCCACTATCCACTATCCTTCTCCTCATCCTTTCCTCTATCACTCCTATCTGATCTTGCTCCGAATCTTCTGTAACCCCTTGCGTCCTAGTGGCTTCTCGCCTTGCTTAGGGTGAAACGCTTAAAAAAAAATTAAACGTAATACTAGATTGGCGGTGAGGTCTCATCATTTTATAGTTAAAAAGGCTAGATGTAACCGTAAGTTTTATGTAAGTTCTATGTTCTCTCTCTCTCTCTCTCTCTCTCTCTCTTCGAACTCTCTCTCTCTTCGAACTCTCTTCCTGCTTCTTGCTTTTCCAGTCAACTTTGTTCCTTCCATATCAATCGTTATCTACTGTCTTATTAATTCCTGTTCTTTTATTGCACTCTCTCCTTAATAATGTTTTTTTTCACATATTCTCTAACACTCAGTAACCTCTTGGCTTCATTTCTTTGTTTGGGATGAAATTTTTTTTTTTAAGCATTTCACCCCAAGCAAGGCGGGAAGCCACTAGGACGCAAGGGGTTACAGAAAATTTAGAGCAAGATCAGATAGGAGTGATAGAAGAAAGGATGAGGGTAGTGGATAGATCAAGGCAACTGGAGATGTCGATTGAATAGCTGGAGATTATAGCTCACAGGGAAACAGGAAAAAGGAAGGGAGTTCCACAGGCGAGAGGTGCGAAACATGAAGCTATTGGAGTAGAAGAGACGGCTATATTTAGGTGTTTCGACAGTGAAGGGTGATTAAAAAAAACAGTTCACGTGTAAATAGGGTAAAAAAATGGTAACTCCTCATCCCAGAAGTTCTGACAGAAAATTTATATATAAAATTTCATCACTAATTCCTTTTGTTTCCAACGTGCCGAAGTTTTTCTTTTATGTTAAATGTTAAATTCTAAAATAATCAGCCATTACACCCTGTAGCAGCAAATCAAGTGCAATCTTCAAACGAAGAAGCCACAAGAGCGCGTTCTGACAAAAACAACCTCCAACAAAATATTTCTTGTCGTATAAACAATGCTGCAGAAAGCCATCACTAAAATTAAATTTCCATATCAGAAATGGTCCGGAAACACAGATCATCATTTATTATTTCGCCATTTTACACCCATTGAAAATATTTAGCAATAAGACAATTCTGTATTTTTTTATAATTATAAAATAGTTTTGCAACTGCAGAATATCTTTCAAGTTTTAAGTATTCGATTAAAAGTATTTGAAGTTTCCGGTTAACAAAATTTGAAGGAGAAATTATCATGACAGATGCAGATAATGCCAAGGACCTTGCAGTTAAAATCACAAGATTACATCAATTCCTTGTCTGTCAAACCATTAAAATGCTCGATCTTGGAAGTAAAATCCCTTCCACAAAACGTGATGTGAACATTCCTATTGACAAAGCATGGGCTGCAATAGACAAGCAGTTAGTCATGTAGAAATCTGCTTCACGGGCGAAAATGAAACGAGATTGCTTCCAAAAAATAGCAGTGCCCATCTTGCTCTATGACATTATGTGAACATTGATAAAAGAATTAGCAAAGAAATTATTATTATTATTATTATTATCTTCCTCCTCCTCTTCCACCATCTTCTTCTTTCCTCCTCCTCCTCCTTCTTCTTCTTCTTTTTACAGTGTTCTTTCTGAACATTGGAGGTCATAGCTCTCCATATTTTCTTGCATTTTGTAACACTTAGTAAATTTTGTCTTTTAGCTATCTCTCCTCTGTCAACCATTTGCAAAAGCTCATTTCTTTTTCCTTCCAATGCTATCTATGAGCAGCGTTTTTAAATATTTGACTAGAAGCTCATTGGTTAGTAAGAATTGAAAAGATTTGGCTCATTCATTGGTTCGCCAAATGATCTTTAAATTATTTCCAATACAATATGGATGCCATATTCTTCTCATGAGTATTGCAATAAGAAAAAAGGCAGCATGCACTGTATGGACAAGCAAAGCAATAAAATAACTTATAGAGTTATTAAAACTCCCTGCAATGATCAAATATTTATATTTTAGTGTCTTTTTCTTTTCTCTTTCTTTTTTTAAAAAGTTGCTTAAATCAACCCCATTTTCTAATTTTCAACAAATTATTTTTTTTAAATTAAAAGAAAAATTTTAGGAGAGAATGAAAGAAAAAGAAAAAGGTTTTGTATTATGACGGGCAGTGAGTAGCAAGATAGATTCCAAATATTTGATTGGTTGAATTTACAGAGTGAAAGGAAGAGGATAAATATAACAAGAAGCAGAGGTAGTGAGTGATATAAAAAAAAAGAAAGAGAGAGAGAGAGAGAGAGAAGAAAGTAATAAGTGGTTAAAGTGAAAAGATGGAAAGGAGGTTCAAGTTCATCTCTTGGCCACCCTCCATGAAAACAAAAAAAAAAATGAATGAATGGATCTGATGAAATGGATTTGACCAAGCTAAGCATTTACTACATCCAAATGGATGGCAGGAAAATTGGTTTGTTCGACACGTATCAACAATAATTAAAGAGAAGAAGCAAAAAGTTTATGCGCTGTTT